TTCTCAGGGTGATGAGAGGTGTTGGGTTTGCGCCAGACATAGCGTTTACCTTGAAGGCCAAAAAGCTCAATTTTAGTCTCATCTGTCCAGAGTACCTTCTTCCATATGTTTGGGGAGTCTCCCACATGCCTTTTGGCGAACACCAAACGTGTTTGCTTATTTTTTTTCTTTAAGCAATGGCTTTTTCTGGCCACTCTTCCGTAAAGCCCAGCTCTGTGAAGTGTACGGCTTAAAGTGGTCCTATGGACAGATACTCCAATCTCCGCTGTGGAGCTTTGCAGCTCCTTCAGGGTTATCTTTGGTGTCTTTGTTGCCTCTCTGATGAATGCCCTCCTTACCTGGTCCGTGAGTTTTGGTGGGCAGCCCTCTCTTGGCAGGTTTGTTGTGGTGACATATTCGTTCCAATTTTTTAATAATGGATTTAATGGTGCTACGTGGGATGTTCAAAGTTTCAGATATTTTTTTATAACCCAACCCTAATCTATACTTCTCCACAAATTTGTCCCTGACCTGTTTGAAGAGCTCCTTGGTCTTCATGGTGCCGCTTGCTTGGTGGTGCCCCGTGCTTAGTGGTGCCACTTGCTTAGTGGTGTTGCAGACTCTGGGGCCTTTCAGAACAGGTGTAGATATACTGAGATCATGTGACACTTAGATTGCACACAGGTGGACTTTATTTAACTAATTATGTGACTTCTGAAGGTAATTGGTTTGCACCAGATCTTATTTAGGGGCTTCATAGCAAAGGGGGTGAATACATATGCACACACCACTTTTCAGTGATTTATTTTTTAGAATTTTTTTGTGTGTGTCCATTACATGAAATCCAAATAAAAATCAATTTAAATTACAGGTTGTAATGCAACAAAGTAGGAAAAACGCCACGGGGGATGAATACTTTTGCAAGGCACTGTATGTGGGAACTCCTTCAAGACTGTTGGAAAAGCGTTCCTGGTGAAGCTGGTTGAGAGAATGCCAATAGTGTGCAAAGATGTCATCCAGGCAAAGGGTGGCTACTTTGAACAATCGCAAATATAACATGTATTTTAATTTGTTTAACACTAATTGGGTTAACACATGATTCCATATGTGTTATTTCATAGTTTTGATGTCTTCACTATCATTCAACAATGTAGAAAATAGTAAAAAATAAAGAAAAAGCCTTGAATGAGTAGGTGTGTCCAAACCTTTGATTGGTACTGTATATATATACACTAGGCCTTAAGACCATGCCTACACTGCGTTGTTCTTGAGTAATCTGAGCTGAAAAACTTTGTAGGCTATTCCGTTAAAACAACTAGAGCCTATTGTAATCAAAATTCAAAACTTAATTGGCGCATTTCAAACTATCCTTTTGTGAGGCGCAGCCGGGAACTAGTTCTGTACGATGGCAGTGGTGTGGTCGATAAATCAAAATTGGAAATTTTGGCTTCCAAGTAGAAGTCTATTGAATAGTAGGAAATAACTAAATGTATTGAATTTATTAGAACATTGTTTTATTCGCTCAAGGTGATGATAAGACAAAATGCATAACTTTCTGAAGAGGCAACGGCGTGGGAATGCCCCTTTCTGTGTGTGCGCCTTTGTCTGCCACATGTAGCCGTTAGCGATGATGCTAATGACAACCATCTTCTGGTAGATGGAAAGGCTTTCCCAAAAACCTTCTCAATTTATGTTAACTTCAAAGTAGTCTATGCATATCTGACAGAATGATATCATGATTATTTGCATCAATCCAGTGGTGATTTTTTCAGCAAACTGCAATCACGTGTGCTACAGAAACACAGCTAAGCAAGCAAGGCTCTTGCTGGTGCACAGCTACATGAAAGTATCTAGATTTTACCCAGACCTCAAAAATGGTATCCTAATGTGGTTTAAGCATTGTTGCGGACTTAGAACCTCCAATTAGTTGTTTTTTCTATTATAAAAAAGTGTAACTGTTGGCATTTCATTTTACATTTACATACATTTACATTTTAGTCATTTAGCAGACGCTCTTATCCAGAGCGACTTACAGGAGCAATTAGCGACCTTTCGGTTACTGGCACAACGCTCTTACCCACTAAGCTACCTACCGAAACTGAACCGAACTGTGATCCAAAAACCGCAACACGTACCGAACCGTGGGTTTGGTGAACCGTTACACCCCTACCCACAAGGTAGATGGGGCTTGCCCACGAACTTGGACGAGCTCTGACGAAACAACACACAGAGTAGCTAGCTAGCTAACTAACATTACAGCCAGAAGATTATCAGAGGGATTTTCAGTCTGAACTGATGGGTAGTTCAACCGACGCCAGATGAGAAGTGATGCGATAACGTTACCATAATTTTTTTTCCTTCAAAACAAAACGGAAGTCCTCCGATCAACCAACAACATCATCTCAAGAGAAGAGCATCATTAGAGGTAACCTACCCTAGCTAGCTAGCTAACTCTGAAAGCCATCAACTTAATCATATACAGTGAGGGAAAAAAGTATTTTATCCCCTGCTGTTTTGTACGTTTTCCCACTGACAAAGACATGATCAGTCTATCATTTTAATGGTAGGTTTATTTGAACAGTGAGAGACAGAATAACAACAAAAAAATCCAGAAAAACGCATGTCAAAAATGTTATAAATTGATTTTCATTTTAATGAGGGAAATAAGTATTTGACCCCTCTGCAAAACATGACTTAGTACTTGGTGGCAAAACCCTTGTTGGCAATCACAGAGGTCAGACGTTTCTTGTAGTTGGCCACCAGGTTTGCACACATCTCAGGAAGGATTTTGTTCCACTCCTCTTTGCAGATCTTCTCCAAGTCATTAAGGTTTCGAGGCTGACGTTTGGCAACTCGAACCTTCAGCTCCCTCCACAGATTTTCTATGGGATTAAGGTCTGGAGACTGGCTAGGCCACTCCAGGACCTTAATGTGCTTCTTCTTGAGCCACTCCTTTGTTGCCTTGGCCGTGTGTTTTGGATCATTGTCATGCTGGAATACCCATCCACGACCCATTTTCAATGCCCTGGCTAAGGGAAGGAGGTTCTCACCCAAGATTTGACGGTACATGGCCCCGTCCATCGTCCCTTTGATGCAGTGAAGTTGTCCTGTCCCCTTAGCAGAAAAACACCCCCAAAGCATAATGTTTCCACCTCCATGTTTGACGGTGGGGATGGTGTTCTTGGGGTCATTGGCAGCATTCCTCCTCCTCCAAACACGGCGAGTTGAGTTGATGTCAAAGAGCTCCATTTTGGTCTCAGTTGACCACAACACTTTCACCCAGTTCTCCTCTGAATCATTCAGATGTTCATTGGCAAACTTCAGATGGCCCTGTATATGTGCTTTCTTGAGCAGGGGACCTTGCGGGCGCTGCAGGATTTCAGTCCTTCACGGCGTAGTGTGTTACCAGTTGTTTTCTTGGTGACTATGGTCCCAGCTGCCTTGAGATCATTGACAAGATCCTCCCGTGTAGTTCTGGGCTGATTCCTCACCGTTCTCATGATCATTGCAACTCCACGAGGTGAGAACTTGCATGGAGCCCCAGGCCGAGGGAGATTGACAGTTCTTTTGTGTTTCTTCCATTTGCGAACAATCGCACCAACTGTTGTCACCTTCTCACCAAGCTGCTTGGTGATGGTCTTGTAGCCCATTCCAGCCTTGTGTAGGTCTACAATCTTGTCCCTGACATCCTTGGAGAGCTCTTTGGTCTTGGCCATGGTGGAGAGTTTGGAATCTGATTGATTGATTGCTTCTGTGGACAAGTGTCTTTTATACAGGTAACAAGCTGAGATTAGGAGCACTCCCTTTAAGAGTGTGCTCCTAATCTCAGCTCGTTACCTGTATAAAAGACACCTGGGAGCCAGAAATCTTTCTAATTGAGAGGGGGTCAAATACTTATTTCCCTCATTAAAAAATGCAAATCAATTTATAACATTTTTGACAAGCATTTTGTTGTTGTTATTCTGTCTCTCACTGTTCAAATAAACCTACCATTAAAATTATAGCCTGATAATGTCTTTGTCAGTGGGCAAACGTACAAAATCAGCAGGGGATCAAATACTTTTTTCCCTCACTGTATATTTTGGATACAGTGTCCATCAATTTAGCCTATGCTATGGTAGTCACTACTAGACTGGTAGTTGCCTTCAACAGAGTAACGTAAACATGGTTGTTAGTTCTATCTTTGACTAACATTAGCTAGCTAGCTAATGTTAGCAAATGGCAGTAGCTGGTAGCCATGTATTCCACTAACTCTTGTCTGGAAAACATTCAGTTTCTAAAAATAGAATTGCCAGGTTATTGTTAGCTAACTCAATATCTGTTTGTGTGTTGGTAGCAATGATGCATTTGTAAATTGTCTATGGTTCATTGGTTGGTACTCAAGCAATCTTGCTGCCGAGTAACGCTAGCTAGCTGGCTAACAGCAAGCTGACAATATTTCTGTTGTGCTAAACTAGCCACTGCCATCCAACTAGAGAGCAAAAAAATTAGCGGGGTGGTTAAATTGTGTATTATGTATTTTGTTGTAGGTGTTACAGAATCTGATTCCACCAACATCTCCAGCTCTGAAGGTGTGGTGATGGTAAGTTGATCAGATCTTTACAAACTGATGACCAAGCTAGCTCAATGTACAGTAAGCATGGCATAAACATGAATTTGGGTTTGTATTTGGTGTTTGTATGCATTTGTTTGTGTTATGGGGTTCACAGGTGGTTAGAGGACCAGACAGAGTATGTTCCAGACCATGTTATCATGTTATTTAGTCTACCCTTTTTCTCTTTGTAAAATGCAGGTTATCTCGAGTCGTTCCACAGTGCCCTGTTGAAATATACCCAAAGTATATACACAAATTGGCTGCATGTTGGATCCACAGGCATGAGGGAGGCATCATTGTCCCCAAACAATACACTAGCCTTTCTCTAATCACTTAGGACCCATCTGTTGACACCTTTACCAACACAGGTGTGATGCCCTACATCCAACTGAGTCTAAATGTTGACACTACAACCATGTATTTTCAGGAGACGTGCAGTACAAGAAAATCTTCTGCAAGGGGTCCAAACAGTGGATGGTTAAGAAGGTCTACGAACCCTGTACTCACTACTTCCGGCCGAGTCTTATCCAGCTGGCCGTAGACCGCAGACAAGACATTCGCTTCAAGCACAGTCTCATCTTCCCCAGCCCACCATGCCACCCAGCAAGTGAATTTCCAGTCACATAAGCTACCACTGACATTCAGTTTTACAATACAGCCATCTCACTCATCTTACCTGCAACGGTGTTGTAATTGGGTTGACTCTGCTATACCACATCCAAACAGCCTAAGCTATCATGTCTAACCTCATCACACAGTCAAACGGACAGGCACACCTTAGTTTGATGTCACTCCATTACCCTGTCAAAACTAGAGTGAATCGCCTAAAAGCTTACTCTGGCAGTGAAAAATGTTGCATTGTTGCAGCGACACTAACTGATACAGTTTGTATATATAAATAATGCCTTTGTATTTCTAATTTTTGATTCATTTTTATATAGTGAAAGGTCTCACTTTGAACAACAACCGTTTTTTACAAACTGTAATAAAATGTTTTGATTCATTGTCTGATTCACATAACTAACTGTCTAATGCCACTTCCCTACTACGGATGGAACCACTACAGTACCAGAATCCTACAGAATATTTTCTCCTTCATTCTATAGGTTGCATACTTCTATTTCTGCCTGGTTTGGCATAGTTCTCCTAGTAGAGAACCGGAATAAGAGAACTAAGCTGAACCAGGCAGAACTAGAAATATGCAACCTACAGCTGATAATAATATACTGGTTTCTCGGTCCTGTTAATGTTGCCTGAGCACGCATAGTACCTGGCCCAGCTGGGCATCTCAGTCATTCATTCTTCACCTCACGTAGTAAGTCAACAATTTTTTTATTTTTTTTTATATTTTTTTACATCCATTCAAATTATAATAGTTCCTCACAGTATTTGAAAAATCTTTCCAACACTCTCCCCCTCGATAATCAGCGTCTCTGATAAATAGGCTATGGACATATTGCGTGTATTTGGTTCTATTTTAATGATTGTCAATTTCATCATCATGCTATAGCATAGCGGTCCCCTTCAGACTTTCTTTGACAATTCATTATCTTATAGCCTACTTTCGGAAAGCCTAAGGTAGGCCTAGGTTTTTTCATACATTTTAAGGAAAGGAGAAATATTATTATTATTTTTTATTTATTTCACCTTTATTTAACCAGGTAAACCAGTTGAGAACAAGTTCTCATTTACAACTGCGACCTGGCCAAGATAAAGCAAAGCAGTGCGGTAAAAACAACAACACAGAGTTACATATGGGGTAAAACAAAACAAAGTCAAAAATACAACAGAAATACATATATATACAGTGTGTTCAAATGTAGCAAGTTATGGAGGTAAGGCAATAAATAGGCTATAGTGCAAAATAATTACAATTAGTATTAACACTGGAATGATAGATGTGCAAGAGATGATGTGCAAATAGAGATACTGGGGTACAAATGAGCAAAATAAATAACAATATAGGGATGAGGTAGTTGGGCGGGCTAATTTCAGATGGGCTGTGTACAGGTGCAGTGATCGGTAAGGTGCTCTGACAACTGATGCTTAAAGTTAGTGAGGGAGATAAGTGTCTCCAGCTTCAGAGATTTTTGCAATTTGTTCCAGTCATTGGCAGCAGAGAACTGGAAGGAATGGCGGCCAAAGGAGGTGTTGGCTTTGGGGATGACCAGTGAGATATACCTGCTGGAGCGCAGACTATGGGTGGGTGTTGCTATGGTGACCAATGAGCTAAGATAAGGCGGGGATTTGCCTAGCAGTGATTTATAGATGGCCTGGAGCCAGTGGGTTTGGCGACGAATATGTAGTGAGGACCAGCCAACAAGAGCGTACAGGTCACAGTGGTGGGTAGTATATGGGGCTTTGGAGACAAAACAGATGGCACTGTGATAGACTACATCCAATTTGCTGAGTAGAGTGTTGGAGGCTATTTTGTAAATGACATCGCCGAAGTCAAGGATCGGTAGGATAGTCAGTTTTACGAGGGCATGTTTGGCAGCATGAGTGAAGGAGGCTTTGTTGCGAAATAGGAAACCGATTCTAGATTTAACTTTGGATTGGAGATTCTTAATGTGAGTCTGGAAGGAGAGTTTACAGTCTAACCAGACACCTACATATTTGTAGTTGTCCACATACTCTAGGTCAGACCCGTCGAGAGTAGTGATTCTAGTCGGGTGGGCGGGTGCAAGCAGCGTTCGGTTGAAGAGCATGCATTTAGTTTTACTAGTGTTTAAGAGCAGTTGGAGGCTACTGAAGGAGTGTTGTATGGCATTGAAGCTCGTTTGGAGGTTTGTTAACACAGTGTCCAATGAAGGGCCAGATGTATACAAAATGGTGTCGTCTGCGTAGAGGTGGATCTGAGAGTCACCAGCAGCAAGAGCGACGTCATTGATATACACAGAGAAAAGAGTCGGCCCAAGAATTGAACCCTGTGGCACCCCCATAGCTCTTGTGTCTGACATACAGTTCATTCGGAAAGTATTCAGACCCCTTCACTTTTTCCACATTTAGTTACGTTACAGCCTTATTCTAAAATTGATTAAATAAAACATTTCCCCTCATCAATCTACACACAATACCCGATAATGACAAAGCAAAAACAGGTTTTAGACATATTTGCTAATTTATAACAAATAAAAACCTAATGCCTTATTTACATAAGTATTCAGACCCTTTGCTATGACATTTACATTTTAGTCATTTAGCAGACGCTCTTATCCAGAGCAACTTACAGTTGCAGTGAATGCATACATATTTTTTTGTTTTTTTTCATACTGGCCCCCCATGGGAAACGAACCCACATCCCTGCCGGCCAAACCCTCCCCTACCTTGGACCAATTGTGCACCGCCCATGGGTCTCCCGGTCGCAGCCGGCTGCGACAGAGCCTGGACTCGAACCAGGATCTCTAGTGGCACAGCTAGCACTGCGATGCAGTGCCTTAGACCACTGCGCCACTCGGGAGACTCGAACTGGAGCTCAGGTGCATCCTGTTTCCATTGATCATCCTTGAGATGTTTCTACAACTTGATTGGAGTCCACCTGTGGTAAATTCAATTGATTGGACATGAACTCCCGAGTGGCGCAGTGGTCTAAGGCACTGCATCGCAGTGCTAGCTGTGCCACTAGAGATCCTGCTTCGAATCCAGTGTCGTCTAGGGTAGGGGAGGGAATGGCCGGCAGGGATGTAGCTCAGTTGGTAGAGCATGGCGATTCCCATGTGGGGCCAGTATGAAACATTTAAAAATAATGTATTCACTCACTAACTGTAAGTCACTCTGGATAAGAGCATCTGCTAAATGACTAAAATGTAATGATTTGGAAAGGCACACACCTGTCTAGTTGCATGTCAGAGCAAAAACCAAGGCCATGAGGTCGAAGGAATTGTCCGTAGAGCTCCAAGACAGGATTGTGTCGAGGCACAGATCTGGGGAAGGGTACCAAAAAGTTTCAGCAGCATTGAAGGGCCCACGAACACAGTGGCCCCCATCATTCTTAAATGGAAGAAGTTTGGAACTACCAAGACTCTTCCTAGAGCTGGCTGCCTGAGCAATCGGGGGAGAAGGGCCTTGGTCAGGAAGGTGACCAAGAACCCGATGGTCACTCTGACAGAGCTCCAGAATTCCTCTGTGGAGATGGGAGAACCTTCCAGAAGCCTTCCTATAGCCTATTTATCTTCAGGTGATTCTTAACCATTGACACAGCTTCGCCTGAGATGGCTGCTGTTCATGGTCTTGTGGTTCTGAATGTGAGATTGTGGGAATTCCAATTATCAATGTCCGTGGTGCTGAATTGGAAACTCTACTATAACGCTATTTGCTTATTTGTTTACCTTTACCAGTTTTCACGTGATAATGTCACCACAGTAACCTGCTACTAATGATGTTAGTAGTGATGATCAATTATTAGTTTTCTATATAAACATATGGATTGGTAACCACTCTCTCCCCCTTACTCTCTTTCTCAGAGGCAAATTATGCCAGCAGCACCAGAGTCCCTTCCCCTGGTGACGTGCCAGCCCATTGGTCAGACCGCCCTGTGCCCCTCCTCTAGTCCCGCCCTCTATCCTGGCAGATCCATGCTGCTGGACACGCCCCACAGAGCCACTCCCACACCATGAGCGCCAACGGGCCCGCCTCTGCCCCGGCAGCCCCAGCTGCAACCCCAGTCGCCCCGCCGGTGCCCAGTCCGGTAGCTGTCCCTCCGGCTGCCCCGGTCCCGGTGCCGACCGTCCCGGTGGGCGCGTTGGCACAGAAGAAGCGGGCGCAGTACGCCAAAAGCAAGAAGCAGGGCAGCAACGCCAACACCAGGCCTGCCAGGGCCCTGTTCTGCCTCAAACTCAACAATCCCATACGAAGAGCCTGCATCAGCCTGGTAGAGTGGAAGTATCCTTCACAACAGACCAGAGTGTGTGTGTGTGTCTGGGGGGTCAGGGGAATGTTTGGCTGGATGTCGGTAATCTATACCTTGTACTTTAGTGTGTGTTGCAGTGTGTGATGTGTAGGTGAGTGCATGAGAAGAACCATCAGGGGCTCAGTTAAGGTCGATTCAGGGCCATCAGGCGAATTTCCGCCCATGCACCAATTCATGATTTCCGTTTGTCTGAACCGTACAGTTGGTTAAATGTTGAGTTGCACCTAGCCCATGCCTAGCTTTAGTTTAGCCATGTGCAGAGACTGTATCCCATCTCCATTACCCCTCACACTCCAGTACAACTAGACAAGAGACACACCTTCATGTTAATCTCACTGCAGAGTGTGACTCACGACCCAAAACAAGAGTATGAAAGTGAAACAGCAAGTCAACATTTACTTTTAATCAGTTCATTCTAGCGTAGGTAGCCTACTGTAGGGAAAAGACAGATTATTTGACAGCTATAGCCAGCGATGCGGGAATCATTCTAGACTTTGTGTTTTTTCGGCGGTGCGTGCAAGAGAATAGTCAACTGGAGGTTAAAGAAATGAAAGAACAAAGTCATTTTTTGCTGCCTCCTAAGGCGCAGTGAAAGTCACCACGTCCTAAATCTTAAAATACTGGTGGGGCGAGGGTGACTCAGTGACACGACACAGCTGTGTGAGCCTCTGCTGGGACGCTGCTGCTCCAGAAGACACAGTCATCCGAACACTGTGATAACTCTGCAAATGATCTCATGTTATTTAGATGGGCCCTGAATTGCCAAGTTGCATTTTTAATGTCATTATGCCTTTTTCTGACTCTCGCAACTTCCGATGTCTTTGGCTTGAACTCTGTCTGTGTTTGATGACTATTGTTTGAACAGGAAATAGTCAAATGTTGACATTGTGAATATATTCATGTGATCCACTGCTTTGATGATTTTCCCTTAACCTTGTCTTCCAGGCCATTTGATATCTTTATATTAATTGCTATTTTTGCCAACTGTATGGCCTTAGCTGTGTACATCCCCTTCCCTGAGGATGACTCCAACTCCACAAACCATGACCTGGTGAGTACATACATCAGCATTACTCCTGACTCCCCAAATTAACCCCATGACCTCCGAACCCCTTGCATTACCTTTGACCCCTATTGTGCTCTGGAGAGGTTTTTGGTGAAGTTACCCCTAGACCCTGATCTTGGGTCAGTTTTGCATTTCCCCCCCACTAATGGTTAAGGTTAGGATTGGGTGAGGGTAAGCTGATCCTAGATCTGTACCAAAGGGAAACTTCACCAGGAGCCTCTGCTGTTTTCACCTTGTACTGTGATTGACTCCTTGGGTTTGCTGCTGTGTGCTCTGGCAGTGACAGCGTTCATGGTGCAGGTGACTTGTTGTATCATTGAAGTCTCTGTGGAGGTGCTGTAGGACAATGGGCACCCTCTGTTTTCAGGTTATTATGCTTTACCCTGCAGTGTTATTATGGTTGTGTATGGTTGATAGTGCTTGACTTGGACTGTAATAGGTGCCGGTACTCATGTTGTGTGCCAGTACTGTTTATATTTAGGTGCAGAAACTCCACAGTACTATTTAGTCAGTATTCAATAAGAGGTGCAGGAACTCAAGCAGTTGTCATGACTAGTGTTTAAAGGTACTATATGGGATATGTCTTGCTGTTCAATGGTAATACGTTATTAATGTGTATTACATGTAAATGTCTTGCTGTGCGTGGGTGTGTGTGTGTGTGCTAACTCCTGTTTGAAGATTATTCTTGTGGAACCACAGAGACTATGGGTCCAGGCATTGGCTGCATGGAGAATCATCTCCATGCTCTTTCCATTTGTACTTTGTCATGTCATATCGTTCCTGCAGTGCACCAGAATTTCATTCAGCTTTTATTTTTAGAAATCCTCATCTCTCTATGCTCCCCTGTGCATGTGAGTCTGACGGTGTGTCTGTGTAGACTGATGAATTATGGGTGATATAGTGTTCAAAGCAGGGCTTCTACAGCTGAGAGTGTGTGCATGCATAGTCCACTGGCGAGACAACAGACATTTGGATTCTTACATGAGCAGGATTTAGCTGGAGAGCTTCATTCATAAACAGCTCATTTGTCTATTTGTGAGAGGAGAAGTGTGGTGTAATGCTTGCCAGTGTGACCTCCAGGAGGGTGACCCCAGGGTATTTGTTTGCACAGTGGTGCATAGGAGGAGGAAAGTAGGTCATCTGGGACAATACAGTCTGTGCTACAGTATTGTGTAATCTATGGGCTCGGTTGGTGTTCAACTACATGTTGTACAGGAGCACCAAAAGAGCATCTTCTTAGTGAGGGATTGCAATGTTCATAAATCAGGGTGAGTATCAGGGAAAAATGTGGTCCTGTATGGCTCGGTTGGTAGAGCATGGTGCCTTCAACACCAGGGTTGTGGGTTCAATTCCCGCTGGGGCCACCCATATGAAATGTATGTAACAGTACTGTATGTAGCTTTGGAAAAATAGAGAGATTAAATGTAACAGGGGATCTGATTCTGTAGTTTTGGGGAATAAACCAGAGCCATATATAAAGTATGTGTGGCCCTGGAGTTAACAATGGTGTCATTTAAAGTCGACTCTATGGAATGTACGTTGTATATAGCCTAGGTACGTATTGCTACAGAACACCTTATGTTATGTTCATATGGTAGGATGATGATTCAACCTCAATAAAAGTCTCTAGAGAGAGTGGCTATGAATTCACTGTGTTGCCATTAAACTGTGGGGAGGTGGTATGGATGTATGAGGGGGTTCATGTGAATGGGGATGTATCTAAATGGCAGCTAATGAGGAACGGCTGGGCTAGGCTGATTGACAGATCCACATTTTGCCCATTCGAATGTTTAATCGAAGAGTAACTGAGTGCCTCAATGCCTGTCTGCCTGCATTATATAGCAAGCCACGGCCACGTGACTCACTGTCTGTAGGAGCAAACAATTTTCGGGCACGAGCTGGTGTACCTAATAAACTGACCGCTGAGTGTGTGTTGCCATGTATTTGTGCCAAGCTTCAGTGAGTCTTAGTTTTTAGGTGACTTGTGCAGATCTGCTCTTTCCAATGGCAGTAGGTATACTGTAGGAGGTTGATTTAGGGCTGGTGCACCAAATGTACTGTACTAACTACAATACACACACACAGAGGTCTCAGGAGGAGGAATGTGAGAGTGTAGAAACGCTGACTTGGTTGAATATGGCAGCCAGCAGGGGTCGAGGGCTGAGAACTCCAGAGCCCAGCGCTGCCATCTCTCTCTCTCACACACACACGCACGCACGCACGCACGCACGCACGCACGCACGCACGCACGCACGCACGCACGCACACACACACACACACAACACACACACACACACACACACACACACACACACACACACACACACACACACACACACACACACACACACACACACTACTGCACTGCAGGCCCATAGGTGAACTGGCTGGCTAGGGCTGATGATGGGAGAACCATGATGGCAGGGGGATGGCACAGTGTCGGGGTGGATGGCCTGGCTGTCACGAAGGGCCAACCAGGCGAGTCCCCTGGCTCCTATCATCCTATCACGAGGCGCTAATGCCATGCAGATTAGATTCAGTGACAGACTCAGTGTAAACTGGGGGGAGGGAGAGAGAGAGAGAGGTACTGTTCAAACTCAGTATCTTATTTTGAGCTCAGCAAGCTGAGAGGAAGCTAAGGCTATGTCCCAATGCTGGCCCTCGAAGACAGAGCAACTAGTGGTAGGGATAAATATGTCTAAGGAATGGGACATCACTCGTGACTCGCGCACATCATCAGAAGCCGACAACAGAAACCACGCCATTCATTGACAACGAGCCTTGTTATTTTCACAATGCCTGTACTGGCGGCAGTAATAACTAACCTTATATTTTTCATGCAACAAATACGTACTTACCATACTAATATTTATACCAAAGGTTTTATGGTCCATACAGAGATCTGCTACATACAGTGCCTTCAGAAAGTATTCATACCCCTTGACTTTTTCCACATTTTGTTGTGTTAAAGCCTGAATTTAAAATTAATTAAATGTAGATTTTTTTTTACACTGGCCTACACACAATACCCGATAATGTCAAAGTAGAATTATGTTTTTTTAAATGTTTACAAATTAATTAAAATGGAAAATCTGAAATGTCTTGAGTCAGTAAGTATTCAATCCCTTTGTTATTGCAAGCCTAAATAAGTTCAGGAGTATACAGTGGGGAAAAAAAGTATTTAGTCAGCCACCAGTTGTGCAAGTTCTCCCACTTAAAAAGATGAGAGAGGCCTGTAATTTTCATCATAGGTACACGTCAACTATGACAGACAAAATGAGGGGAAAAATCCAGAGAATCACATTGTAGGATTTTTAATGAATGTATTTGCAAATTATGGTGGAAAATAAGTATTTGGTCAATAACAAAAGTTTCTCAATACTTTGTTATATACCCTTTGTTGGCAATGACACAGGTCAAACGTTTTCTGTAAGTCTTCACAAGGTTTTCATACACTTTTGCTGGTATTTTGGCCCATTCCTCCATGCAGATCTCCTCTAGAGCAGTGATGTTTTGGGGCTGTCGCTGGGCAACACAGACTATCAACTCCCTCCAAAGATTTTCTATGTGGTTGAGATCTGTAGACTGGCTAGGCCACTCCAGGACCTTGAAGTGCTTCTTACGAAGCCACTCCTTCGTTGCCCGGGCGGTGTGTTTGGGATCATTGTCATGCTGAAAGACCCAGCCACGTTTCATCTTCAATGCCCTTGCTGATGGAAGGAGGTTTTCACTCAAAATCTCACGATACATGGCCCCATTCATTCTTTCCTTTACACGGATCAGTCGTCCTGGTCCCTTTGCAGAAAAAACAGCCCCAAAGCATGATGTTTCCACCCCCATGCTTCACAGTAGGTATGGTGTTCTTGGATGCAACTCAGCATTCTTTGTCCTCCAAACACGACGATGTTGAGTTTTTACCAAAAAGTTATATTTTGGTTTCATCTGACCATATGACATTCTCCCAATCCTCTTCTGGATCATCCAAATGCACTCTAGCAAACTTCAGATGGGCCTGGACATGTACTGGCTTAAGCAGGGGGACACGTCTTGCACTGCAGGATTTGAGTCCCTGGCAGCGTAGTGTGTTACTGATGGTAGGCTTTGTTACTTTGGTCCCAGCTCTCTGCAGGTCATTCACTAGGTCCCCTTCGTGTGTTCTGGGATTTTTGCTCACCGTTCTTGTGATCATTTTGACCCCACGGGGTGAGATCTTGCGTGGAGCCCCAGATCGAGGGAGATTATCAGTGGTCTTGTATGTCTTCCATTTCCTAATAATTGCTCCCACAGTTGATTTCTTCAAACCAAGCTGCTTACCTATTGCAGATTCAGTCTTCCCAGCCTGGTGCAGGTCTACAATTTTGTTTCTGGTGTCCTTTGACAGCTCTTTGGTCTTGGCCATAGTGGAGTTTGGAGTGTGACTGTTTGAGGTTGTGGACAGGTGTCTTTTATACTGATAACAAGTTCAAATAGGTGCCATTAATACAGGTAACGAGTGGAGGACAGAGGAGCCTCTTAAAGAAGAAGTTACAGGTCTGTGAGAGCCAGAAATCTTGCTTGTTTGTAGGTGACCAAATACTTATTTTCCACCATAATTTGCAAATAAATTCATTAAAAATCCTACAATGTGATTTTCTTGGATTTTTCTTTCTGAATTTGTCTGTCATAGTTGACGTGTACCTATGATGAAAATTACAGGCCTCTCTCATCTTTTTAAGTGGGAGAACTTGCACAATTGGTGGCTGACTAAATACTTTTTTTCCCCACTGTACATTTGCTTAAGAAGTCACATAATAATTTGCACGGACTCACTCTGTGCAAAAATTGTGTTTAACATGATTTTTAAATGACTACCTCATCTCTGTACCCCACCACATATTATCTGTAAGGTCCCTCAGTCAGCCAGTGAATTTCAAACACAGATTCAAACCAAAAAGACCAGGGAGGTTTTGCAATGTCTCGCAAAGAAGGGCACCTATTGGTAG